TCATTTAATTCTTTAAACTGATAAACAAAATTTATTATTAAATAGTATAATTATTCTTAGTAATTTTTTGAAATTTGAATGTTATTCATATCATTTAGTTAGTAGGAACTATAGTTTTAATTTAATTTCGGAGACGCGTAGGAGATTACACGATCTTGATTTGTATGTATTGCACGTATACAAATAGATTGTTAACATCGGTGGCTTTGTATAGAAAAGCCTTGACCGTGATGAAAGCTATATTCAACTGAAGCTATATATTGATTCGTAGACATATAATACATATATTTCTTTAGATGTAAATAGAATGATGTAGCATAATATACTAATAATACTTTCTTTTTTTATATTAATGGAATAAATTTAGTATTACAAATGAATTTTTTATAACAGAGATGGCATATAATTTCCTATAATTTCCTTCATATTCTAGATTGCAGTTCCTGATGTAGTGGAAGCAGCTAAAGATGCAGATATCTTGATTTTTGTAATACCACATCAATTTATCAATAGAATATGTGCTACATTATTAGGGAAAATTAAACCTTCAGCTGTTGGCCTTTCTTTGATAAAGGTATAATTTTAATTTAGAATTAAATAGCATTAGTAAATAAAATATATTTCTTGAAATTGATTGAAATAATCACTAAAATCAAATTTTAAACTTAAATTTTTTGGAAACAAACAATATTTTGGACGAGAAACCTCATGTATAAATTTATATTTATATTCTCATCTCAACTCCAATTTACCTTGTACATAAAATAATGAGTGATTTATTATTTTACAGGGCTTTGATAAGAAAGAGGGAGGTGGTATTGAACTTATATCACACATAATTAATAAGCAACTTCACATTCCTGTTTCTGTTTTAATGGGGGCAAATTTAGCTTCTGAAGTTGCTGAAGAAATGTTTTGTGAAACTACTATCGGTAAATATTCATTCCATATTTATCAAACAAATGTCATATAGCTATCATATTGCTTATATTGTAACTATTTAATACTAATTTATTAATGTCTAGGTTGCAAGGATAAAAATATGGCTCCTATACTAAGAGATTTAATACAAACCCCATACTTTAGAGTTGTAGTGGTTGAAGATGTTGATTCAGTTGAATGTTGTGGGGCATTAAAGGTAAATATATCATACTATTGCTTGTGACTATTAAATCTATTATTTTCAAATTTTAACAGAATATAGTTGCCTGTGGCGCTGGTTTCGTTGATGGTTTAGGTCTCGGTGATAATACAAAGGCTGCTGTTATCAGATTAGGCCTTATGGAAATGATCAAATTCGTGGATGTCTTTTTCCCTGGTGGAAAACTTTCTACTTTCTTTGAAAGTTGTGGTGTTGCTGATCTTATCACTACCTGTTATGGTGGTCGCAATCGTAGAGTTTCTGAAGCTTTTGTAAAATCTGGCAAGGTCAGTTATTAATCTGCATATATTAATTAATATACGAATCGAAACGACATAATAAAATTCTCAGTTTCTGCATCACATATAATAAAATTATGTAACTTGATATTGTGAATCATAATACTGAAAATGGTTGTACAATAATTCTAATTGAAACTCTAATAGAATGATTTTGTCTAAATTCTAATGATCCATCCTCAACATTCTCAGCACGTATTCAGTATTTCGAGGTCAACGTAACCTAACCTATTGACAAAGGCAATGAATAGATGTGGCAAGAGTAAGCAAGAAGTATTATGTTTCTCTCACTTGCTCTAAATCTATTAGTTTCTTTGTCGAGGGGTTTGAGAGCAGACCTCGAAAGTATTTCAGGAACAAAATCGTTAGCTGTTACGCGAGAATTGCAATGCGGATTTCCGGACCCATTAGAATTTAAACGACCATTACTCTGATAGTATATTTTATAAAAGATTGTGCTATATATCATTTTCTTTACAGACAATCGAAGAATTAGAGAAGGAAATGCTAAATGGACAGAAATTACAAGGTCCGTTTACTGCTGAAGAGGTGAATTACATGTTAAAAGCGCAAAATATGGAGAACAGGTTTCCCCTTTTTACGGCCGTACATAGGATCTGTACCGGTGAGATAAAGCCTACGGAACTAATTGAATACATACGCAATCATCCAGAGCACATGTAAGCTTAATTGTCTCCACTATAATTAATGGCGAACTAGTTTAAATATCTATCTGACTTTTGTTTAGAAATTATTATAAAATGACAAATATTTTATTTAATATATTGTAAAATTTACTTTCGGAGTTAAAAATATATTAATATACTGTCACATAAATTTTAAAAATTCAACGAGAGAAATATGTAAATATGTAATATTTAATTTAACTGAGCATCCTATACAAGATATAGGATCTATGTTTTAGTTCATTTTAAAATTCATTGCTCTGTTTAGCCATGGTCCTAGTTACTTATGTAGTTACATGTTCCGATTGGTAGATTTGTAAAAAATACCTAACATTAATCTGATAATATGTATATTGTATAATACGTGTATATATTTGTAAATAGTTGTTATGTACATCAAAACAGAAAGGATTTATGTACAATTTTT